GAGGGATGGTAGAGGGAACATGGCCGAGGGATGGTAGAGGGGAACATGGCTGAGGGATGGTAGAGCACTCTTCTAGGCCGGGCCGCTCTCACTTGTCGGGTCCTTACAGGTGCTGTCAGTTTGTGTTGAGGAAGATAATATTGTGAATTATGCAACCAACGTGCTTCAGAATCCAGACCTTGGTCTGCGTTTGGCCATTCGTAGTAACCTGGCTGGGGCAGAGAAGTTGTTTGCGAGAAAATTCAGTACCCTCTTTGCACAGGGCAGCTATGCTGAAGCCGCCAAAGTTGCAGCGTCTGCACCAAAGGTGATAAACCTTGAATACTGTTCAAGTGTTCTGAGTGTTAAGAACCAACCTTGAGAGGAAAATAAGTCATAAAAGCATTTCACTACTGGTATTGCAGTCTATTAGTGTTATGTTAGGAGTTTTTAGTTTAAAATTTTTGCACCAATGGCTTAACAGTAAGGGAAGTAAACAAAAAGCACACTCTTGCTGCATCAGCACTTCTTCCTGTCTCCCACTTTGTGTGCATACATACCTCTCACCCAATGGCTTGGGTACAGTTTCACATTTTCGCAACTCAGAATTTTTCCACTCTTGCTGCCTGGTTGTCAAATATGCAACTGTACAGTACACCAAGTGGTTGATCCCTGTTTTATTTAGCAATAGTCCTGCTCTAGACTTCCTCCACTCTTTCAGAATATAGCATTTCTGCATAAGGCTTTTTCTTTAGTTTATTTCATTTGGATAAATTGTTCAGAGACTGGATCTGCTCCTGAGTAGATAAAGACTTTCAAGTTGCTGGTCCTTGAAAGAATTTTTCTTGTCTTTCAAGGGGTGGTTATGAACAAACCATTTCTAGCCTTCATCTGTGAATGTGAGTATTTTGAATTAGAATATAATGATAGCAGAACTTCACTACTACAAGACTGATTGAGAGGCTGAATTCTCACTGCAGCATGCTGGGGGAGAAGTAAGACCCTAAGTATGAAGCCACCTGGAGGACCTAGATTCCCCCATATTTATGGTTCTTATTGAAGATAGAAGCAGTTGCCTTAGTAGAGGACATTTTGTCCATGACAGAGCAGTGTGGAATTTCCACTGGCAGATTTTTGTTTTTACATAGAAGCAAGTTGAGTGAAGGGATCCCCCGTGATTACAACACAATGACCTATTTTTCCATTTATTACTAGGGAATCCTGCGTACCAGAGAGACGGTCCAGAAATTCCAGAGTATACCCGCTCAGCCTGGCCAGGCTTCTCCATTGCTGCAGTACTTTGGAATCCTGCTCGACCAGGGTCAGCTCAATAAACTTGAATCCCTAGAACTTTGCCATCTGGTTCTTCAGCAGGGGCGTAAGCAACTCCTAGAGAAGTGGCTGAAAGAAGATAAGGTAGAAACACTTGTGAGATGGTAGCCCCCCGCACAGCTTGGTCCAGGCTCCCTGCCCACCTCCTAACTTTGCCTTGTCCCTTGGCGTACCACAGCTGGAGTGCTCAGAGGAGCTCGGAGACTTGGTCAAAACCACTGACCCCATGCTCGCTCTGAGTGTGTACCTTCGGGCAAACGTGCCAAGCAAAGTGATCCAGTGTTTTGCAGAAACAGGCCAATTCCAGAAAATTGTACTCTATGCCAAAAAGGTAACGTGTGTTGAACCATCTGCATCCCACTCAACATGTGGTTGAGTGGTTGCTGATTTAAAGTTTATAAAATACCCTTCTTTATAAGTCCTCTGGTGTGAGAGTTGGCAGTGTTGCTATTAGGATCTTTATTGATATTGATCATATTGCATTTTCTTCAGTTTTTTATTTTCCTTAGTTTTCCAGTCCTTCCATATTCTTTTTATTTGGGAGCTTTATCTTGTTTTTTCTCTCCCTCTCTTCCTTCTGTATGTTAATTTGATATTTTGGCAGACTTCCAGATCTTGTCCCTGTGTGCTCACTGGCAGGCTGTGTTTGCACACAGATCAGGGAACTTATTTTTGGTCTGGGCTGTTTGTATAGTTAATTGTGCCTTCCATGGACATGAAATCAATTTATTTAATTGGATATTGTGTTTGGCAGAAGGTGGTACCTACAAATGATAATGTTGCTGCTCATTTCTTTGTTAACGTGAGTTTAAAACAAAGGATAGATAACTTCATTTTCTAATGCCCAGGGTTTTTCATTGATTTTCCTGATTGGTGCTCCCTTGCTTCTAGGTTGGGTACACCCCAGACTGGATCTTTCTGCTGAGGGGTGTAATGAAGATCAGTCCGGAACAGGGCCTGCAGTTTTCTCAAATGCTAGTGCAGGACGAGGAGCCACTGGCTGACATTAACCAGGTGAGCATAGGCAGTTTTGGACAACTTTTTGTGGCTTTTTAGAGCCATCTAGAAGATTCTTTTATTCATTTCCTGTTAACTTGTCTCAATGCTTTTCTTCATCTGCTATTAATCTTCCAGTTTTAAAAAATCTAGTGTACTTGGGGAGTTTGTCTTCTAGTCTTTACTATGTGAGTACTCATTGCTTCCTTTGTTTTGAAGTACTTTAGAGAATGTTTGCGTGGGTTTGTGTCTTTGGGTGGTGATGGTGTAGGGTGTGAGGATGTCATTTAGGATGCAGCCCTCCATCCCTCTCCCCACCCCAGTTACCACATCATTGTCTCTCCCTGACCATTGGCCTGAGCACCAGGAGCTAGTGCTGTTGCATCCCCCAAATGTTCATCCTGTGGGTGTCTGACTGACCTGGATCTACGTGAGCATCACCCTGTTTTTTAGTGTAACCTACTTAGAAATTAGATGTAAACACATGACAAGTCACTTTCAGTCAATTGGTACAAGGAACTCTGATGATATATAGATGTGTAACAAAGCTTGAAGCAAGGCATCAGGGCCAACAACTGTTCAGAAATAATAAGTGCAGTTATATGTGTTTATATGTCTGGGAATTTGCAGGTATTTTGGAGAACATGAATAAGAGATTTGAGACAAATTTACTTAGCTTTCAATAGGAAAGAAATTTCCAGTTCACATCTTGTTTCTAGTTCATATTTTAAAGTTGTTTAAAATATAAACTTCTCATACTTTATGAGAAGTTCTACAATTAGTAAGTTCTTTTTTATTTTCCTGTAAAGCTGTCCTTCAAAAACAATTACTAAATTTATTCCTATATTTCACATCTTAGTGAGGCATATTAATTATTTAAATTAACATCAATTTAACTTTAATAATTGTCTAAGTAAATGTTTGCATTTTCCCAGTTGTGCCCCAATAATATAATGATATATATGGGTTAAATATCAAGTATCAGCTGCTTTGTTAGTCAAGATTCTGCAGAGACAGAATCAGCAGCGTAACTCTAGCTATAGGAGAGGGAGCCTGGGCAACATAGTGAGACCCCATCTGTACCAAAAATTTTTTAAAACTTAGCCAGGCATGGTGGTGCACACCTGTGGTCCCAGCTACTCAGGAGGCCGAGATGGGAGGATCGCTTGAGCCTTGAAGGTTGAGCCTGCAGTGAGTGGTGACCTTGTCACTGCTTTAGCCTAGGCAATAGAGTGAGAACCCATCTCAGATATATGAGGGAGAATTGGCTCGTGATTATGGAGGCTGAGAAGTCCTGTGATAGACTGTCTGCAAGCTAGAGGAGACGTTGGATTCCAGTAGCGTGGCTCAATCTAAGTTTGAAAGTCTCAGAACCAGGGAAGCCGATGGCGTAACTCTCAGTCTGAGGCCAATGGCCTGAGAACCCTGGGGGGCCTTTGGGGTAAGTCCTGGAGTCCAAAGGCTGGGAAGCCTGGAGTTCTGATGTCCAGAGGTAGGAGGAGGAGAAAGTCCCAGCTCCAGGAGAAAGAGAGAAGAAATCTATTCTTTCCTTTTTTGTGCCCCCAGCTGATTGGATGGTGCTCCCTGACATTCAGAGTGGATCATTCCTACTTGGTCCCCCAACTCACATGCCAGTCTTCTCTGGGAACGCCCTCACAAACACACCCAGAAGGAATGCTTTACCTGCTCTCTATGTGTTCCTTAATCCAGTCAAACTGACACCTAAAGCTAAGCATCACAGCTGCCTCTAGGATGTGATTAAGTAATGTATGATTACTGCTTGGATCACTTGAGAGGATTCTGGGGGTTCATATGTTATAAAAATCACTCCCTTTCATATACTTCGGTAAAATACCTCACTGATAGGTGTGATGTAGGTGATATGATTTCACAAGATTATCAATAAATTAATGACCATAAATTACGTGAATTGTGTTGTTGTTGTTGTTGAGATGAGGTCTCTGTGTTACCCAGAATAGTCTTAACTCCTGGGCTCAAGGAATGCATGCATCCACCTCAGCCTCCTGAGTAGCTGGGACTATAGGCACACACCACCACACCTGGCTCTATGTGAATTGTGATGACATAAGAAAATGCAAAGGGGCCAGGAGCAGTGGCTCACGCCTGTAGTCCCAGCACTTTGGGAGGCCAAGGCAGGCGGATCACCTGTCAGGAGTTCGAGACCAGCCTGACCAACATGGTGAAACCCTGTCTCTACTAAAAATACAAAAATTAGCTGGGTGTAGTGACAGGTGCCTGTAATCTCAACCACTTGGGAGGCTGAGGCAGGAGAATCGCTTGAACCCAGGAGGTGGAGGACGGAGGTTGGAGTGAGCTGAGATTGTGCCTTTGCACTCCAACCTGGGTGACAGAGTGAGACTCCATCTCAAAAACAAAACAAAACAAAAAACAAAGGAAGGAACTAATTGTTGAATTTCTAAATGAGATAATGAGATAATATTTCAGGAACTATTTCAATACGAAAATGAAACACTGTGAATGAAAACACACTGAGTGAAAATGTGGCTTGGATATGTTTCAGATTGTGGACATTTTCATGGAAAACAGTTTAATTCAGCAGTGTACTTCCTTCTTATTGGATGCCTTGAAGAATAATCGCCCAGCTGAGGGACTCCTCCAGACATGGCTGTTGGAGATGAACCTTGTTCATGCACCCCAGGTCAGTGACATTGTAGGCTAACACCGAGAGGCAGAGCACCTGTGGCACCCCTCTGTGGGTTTGCAGACTTGAGCACAGTGGCTTTGGACTGGACTGGGCTTGTGCCAGATGTTTATCTTGTACTTCTCAGTGAACATTCCCCATGACTCCCCTTAAAAGGATTTTCCAGAAATCATGGTACAGGACTTTCATGGAAACAGTTATAATTGGGGCATCGTTTCTTTCTTTCTTCTTTTTTTCATTGTGGTAAAATATACATAACCAAATTTACCATTTTAACAACTTTTAAGTGTCTGATACAGTGGCATTAAGAACATTCACAATACTGTGCAACCGTTACCACTATATGGTTCCAGAACTTTTTATTATCCCAGAGTAACTATGTAACTGTTAAGCAATGACTCCTCATTTCCCAGCCCCTGACAACTGCCTTTCTAATCTGTCTCTATTAATTTGCCTTTTCAAGATATTTCATATACATGGAACCACAAAATATTTGTCCTTTTACCTGGCTTTTTTCACTTAGCATATTATTTTCAAGGTTCATCCACGTTGTAGCATGTGTTAGAAACACCTTCATTTTAAAAACTGAGTAATTGTCCACCATGTGTATATATGACTTGTGTTTATCCATTCATCCATTGATGAACATTTGGGTTGCTTCTACCTTTAGGCTATTGTGAATAATGCTGCTGTTCACATGGGTGTACAAAGATTTCTTTGAGACCCTGCTTTAATTCTTTTGGGCATATACCTAGAAGTGGATTTGCTGGATCATATTGTATAGTAATTCTATGCTTACCTTTTTGAAGAACCACCATACTGTGTTCCAGGAGGCTGCACCATTTTATATTCTTCCCAGCAATGCTCAGCAGTTCCAACTTCTGTATATCCTTGCCAACACATTTTCCCTGTCTAAAATAATAATAATAGTAATCATCTTAATGGCTGTGCAGTGGTATTGTGGTGAGGCATCATTTGTTGGCCTGAAACTTGTGGGAGGAAGGTATAATCAAATCACATGTCTGTGCTATTTTGGGTTAAATTTAGATATATATACAAGAAAGGGATTTAGAGGAGTTTGTATCAAGCTGTTCACGGTACTAAGTGGATAAGATTGTACAAGTTCACTTTGTTCTTTACTTGTCTCTTCTTTTTTGTTTTTTCTTTAATAATCACTTATTGTTTTTATAATTATAAAACAACATATTAAGTATATTGTTCTGTTACCTCAATTTATTCAAATCCACAGGTTAGCTGCTAAGAAGTGGGTCATATTCCAACTATAGGAAATTAAAGTGCTGTTAATTTGCTGCTTGGGGTCTATTGGACTCTTATGACTTTGTGAGTGTATGTAATAGTTTTTGGTGAATGAGATTTGAAACACACCAAGCGCCACTCAGAAACTTGGCAGACACCCAAAGGAATGCCCAGACCTTAAGGGGTGCAGGACAAGCAAGTAGTTGGGTGAGGTGCCAGCAGGCTCTGGCTTAGTGCCCCAGGATGCTGGCAGTCTTCTCTGGGCAGTGGGACTGCATGATGGTTTCTAAGTTCTCTAAAATACACTGTTGCTATGATGAGAAAATGTTTAAAAACAAGAAGTAAAGATAAACCTGAAGGAAACAAAGGATAGGAGACTCAGGTAAGTGCTAGGTGTTCTAAAGCCCTACTCTTAGTACTTGGTTTGGATCATCAACTCTATGGGGAACCAGAAGTGTGCATCACTCTGAAGTCGTCTGGTGTGTGACAGGGGCTGTGGTCACTCAGTTTGGCCATACCTGGTTGGTGATGCAGATCCTTGAAGGAATGAGAAAGAGTGTGCTGGGTGGCAGGGAAGGCACCCAGGAGCGTAGCTAGTCAAGACCAGCATTAGATACTGAGCGAGCACTCATTCAGCCATGTTGCAAGGCTACTGTGTTGACCTATCTAGTCTTAGTCCAAAAATTACTTACTTAAAGAGAATATTTAGTGGCTGGGTGCAGTGGCTCGCGCTGTAACCCCAGCATTTTTGAAGGCCAAGGTGAACAGAGCCCAGGAGTTTGAGACCAGCATGGACAACATGGCCAAACCCCATCTCTACAAAAAAATATAAAAATTAGTCGGGTGGGCCAGGCATGGTGGCTCACACCTGTAATCCAAGCACTTTGGGAGGCCAAGGCGGGAGGATCACGTGGTCAAGAGATCGAGGCCAGCCTGTCCAGCATGGTGAAACCCTGTCTTTACTAAAAATACAAAAATTAGCTGGGCATGATGGCGCGTGCCTGCAGTCCCAGCTAGTTGGGAGGCTGAGGCAGGAGAATGGGGTGAACCCAGGAGGTAGAGGTTGCAGTGAGCTGGGTGGGATCGTGCCACTGCACTCCAGCCTGGCAACAGAGTGAGACTCCATCTCAAAAAAAAAAAAAAA